AGGTTGCATATTAATGGATGATTGATCAGCAGTGATGACACGAGGTATTTGCAAAATATAAGTTATATACCGCTGTTACATGCGGAATATGTAGCAACATTGACCTTGGATCAAGTAGTTGTATAAGGCACACACACAAACCATTTAGCCAGTGAAAAAAATAAAAGGTCACAATATGCATGAATGATGTTGACTCTGTTTATGTCATTTTAAGCCTAAATGGTTAAGGAATTAGAAAGTAATAATTCAAATCCGTATTTTAACGTATTCCGACGCGAAAAATAGGCTCCCAGATGTGCCACTAAGTTTTCAAGCTATTTAAATAGGGACATTTGCATAAACAATCCCGCCTTAGAGGGAAGCTTTATAGCTTCCCAGAGGTGGTATAGAGCGACCCTTTTAAGTCATTTTATGCCGAAATGGTTAAGGAAGGAGATGAAAATATTTCGAATCCGTATTTTAACGTATGTCGATGCGAAAAATGCGAGGCTCCCAGATGTGCCACTGAGTTCTCAGGTTATTTCCATAGGGGCTTCTGCATAGACAACCCCCCTTGTAAGAGAGACGCTATATAGTTTTCCAGAGGCTGTATATAGCGACACTTATTGAGTCATTTTGTGCCTCAATGGCTAAAGAACGAGATAATAATATTTCAGATCCGTATTTTAACGTATTTCGATGCAAAAAATGCGAGGCTCCCAGATGTGACACAAAGTTTTCAGGCTTTTTCCGAAGAGAGGTATGCATAAATAACCCCGTCTTAGAGGGAAGCTATATAGTTTTCCAGAAGCTGTATAGATGACGACTTTTTTAGTCATTTTATGACTTAATGGTTAAAGAATTAGGACGCTAAATAGTTTTATGAAGAAGAATCATGATGTGACTGTACTTTTCTGGACTTTACTACTAAGATAATCGTGTTTACCCTTGTAAGGCATTACATATAATTGTTTACCAATGTGTTGTATTTCTTTAAGGTTTTATGATAACTTTGCAACCATTTTTCTTATTTTTTTCCAATGAAAATTTGATCATAGGTAACATTACATTTGTAAATGACGGGCATACAATTACAAGAGAACTACCCAAAGGTCAAACTACTGATCTTATAAATCATATTATAATAGCTTCAAGCGAAATGATTTTTTGCTCAGTTGGTTCATAAGATCATTTGACAAGAAATGCATTATAGTACAAGAACACAACCATACAATTTTTTATCTATGTTATATATCATGGTTATGTAATGATATTTGATGATGACTGATGGCAGGCAATATTTGAATACACATGAAATTCAATTCCGGTAATGAATTGAACTGATGCATGTATATGACAATTTTACTTAGAGCGTCTTTAATGCCACAATAACAGATCTTAAAGAAACTACACTGTAATCAATTTACTACCATTCATATAGTTCTAAATTTTACCTGTTTTATTTGGCACGCTTGATGATATCATAGGTGGAACAAATTGAATATGAGATTGAATAATGTAAGTGCATTCCGAGCCGGAAGTAAAGAAAGTGTCGTCTGCTATAGTTTGCTACAGAGACATAAGGCAGTTAATTATACAGCCGTCCTCGTCTTTATCAGTGAGGAGGAGGGAGATTGGTTCATGTCAAGGGACTTTTCCAGCTGCAGTTTATTTGGAGATGTGGTATCAGATTACAGATGTACTGTCATCATTAGTCGTGTTGACGGGAGACTGGCCGTTAGCAGCTTGGTGAATTGTGCATATAAAAATGATTTGGTAACTTTTGTTTTGTGTGTATCTGTACATGTCAATATGATATTGTCGTTTAGTTTGGATTGTGGGAACATTGAGAGCAAACATACATAATATTCCAGAATAGGCTACCCCTGTAGGCCGCCGGTGACGGAAAGCTAGATCAAATAATAGGTAACGTGTAAAAGTCGTATTCAGGATGACCCAGAGTGGAGAAATGAGTGAGTGAGTTAGCAATATTCCAGCAATATCGCGGGGGACACCAGAAATGGGCTTCACACATTGTACCCATGCCGGGAATGTAACCCGGTTCTTCGGCGTGACGAGCGAGCGTTTTAACCACTAGACCGCCTCGAGTGGAGAAATGAAAAGAAACAACGCATAAGAGAATTCAATAGAAAAACACTGGAACATGTATGCTGAAACAGAGAAGTGTACACAAATGTACTTAAATATAAGTGGCGAGAAGGGGGGGGGGGGGGGGGGGGATATTTCAGGAGTTCTTGCATGTTTGAAGAAGATTTGAAAAGAGTTCAATTCTACTATTAACTACGGTGACCCATAAGGGACATGGAGTCTTTTGATATTTCACTTACTTTTATCGTAACCTTTAGCAAATTAACACACTTTTTCATACAAATATTTGATAAATCATGTATAAAAACAACCATGGAAAATGTACTTTCAAGTAGCTGTTGAATCGCTGAAACGTGAAGCGAAAATGTCAAAAACTAAAATGGAAATGTCCAAAACAAAAACGAAAAGGTCAAAAACTAAAATGAAAATACAGAAAAGTATTTCCACCGCGGTGTAAATACTTTTGACCAGATCAGACACTCTCGCCACAACACAGCTGCTAAAAGGGGATATTAACATTAACACAGTGATGTGGGTCAGCTCACTGACACTTTTTACCGGCACGTGCGGATCAGTGTCACGAGCCTTCCCAATATGCCGTCAGGTGGGTAGGTGGATGGGCTGACACGGCGTGGCGCTGAAGTATACATTAGGAGCACGGGTCAAACTCCACGCATCTTTTGCCGGCTAGTCTTACAGCACGCCCCTATCCATTACATGGGCGACACACTGTATCGTGTTAAGGATTGTTATATGACCTGAACTACACAAATTCACAAACATTCTCTCGGACATGAAAATTCACAGTCACAGAATCACAAACACTGTCAAAACAATGTGTTTGTCCTAAACACAAAAAAACTAAGGCGTTCCTTATCCCATGATTTTGACACGTTTAGCGTCTAAAGATGTTTAGAGTCTGACTGTGTTTAACAGCTAGACGTGTTTCGGGTCTAAATGACGCTGTGACATCAGAACTATGTCACAGATTCACACACATTCCCCCTGAAATGAGAAGCCACTATGTCACAGATTCACACACATTCCCCCTGACATGAGAAGCCACTATGTCACAGATTCACACACATTCCCCCTGACATGAGAAGCCACTATGTCACAGATTCACACACATTCCCCCTGACATGAGAAGCCACTATGTCACAGATTCACACACAATCTCCCTGCTATGAGAAGCCTCTATGTCACAGATTCACACACATTCCCCCTGACATGAGAAGCCACTATGTCACAGATTTACACACAATCTCCCTGCTATGAGAAGCCACTATGTCACAGATTCACACACAATCTCCCTGCTATGAGAATCCACTATGTCACAGATTCACACACATTCCCCCTGACATGAGAAGCCACTATGTCACAGATTCACACACATTGTCTCTTACACGAGAATCCACAATGTCACAGATTCACACACATTGTCTCTTACATGAGAAGCCTCTATGTCACAGATTCACACACATTCCCCCTGACATGAGAATCCACTATGTCACAGATTTACACACAATCTCCCTGCTATGAGAATCCACTATGTCACAGATTCACACACATTGTCTCTTACACGAGAATCCACAATGTCACAGATTCACACACATTGTCTCTTACATAATAAGCCACTATGTCACAGATTCACACACATTGTCTCTCACATGAGAATCCACAATGTCACAGATTCACACACATTCTCCCTGACATGAGAAGCCACTATGTCACAGATTCACACACATTCCCCCTGACATGAGAATCCACTATGTCACAGATTCACACACATTGTCTCTTACACGAGAATCCACAATGTCACAGATTCACACACATTGTCTCTTACATAATAAGCCTCTATGTCACAGATTCACACACATTCTCCCTGACATGAGAATCCACTATGTGACAGATTCACACACAACCCCCCTCACATGAGAATCCACTATGTCACCATCTTCCCGAGGCAAGAGAGTTAACTGACTTTAAAAGTCCAGTTTCCACTCTTGCCGAACAAGGCTGGAATTACTGGCCTCGAACGTAGCGCCATCAGTGGCTATTACCAGTTATGTCCCTTCTAAGCCTCTCCTATGGGCCAATCAGATTCCACCTCTCGTATCACTTACGTTTGCTTCACACAAAATGGTGGCGCCCAGTCAGGACGATCTGATCGATAATCAAGATCTATATTGTGATAAAACGGGTCTTACTTCGCGAAATGCATCAAATCACGTGAGCACCTTGATTAAAAATATGAAAAGATTTGGAAAATATCTGCTGACAACGAGTTGGCTGTGCACATGCTTTGCAAATTCTGCAATCGATCGAAATCTACACGACAGTTTACGAACCGGATTTCGATTTCGGTGCGCGATTTTGATTGGACTACGCATAGACTCGTTAGTCCAGCCATAATGTAACTCCATAATACCAGCCTAGTTCGGCAAGGGTGGAAACTGGACTTTTATTGTCAGTTAACTCTCTTGCCTCGGCAAGAATGCTATGTCACAGATTCACGCACATTGTCTCTTACATGAGAATCCACTATGTCACAGATTCACACACATTGCCTCTTACATGAGAATCCACTATGTCACAGATTCACACACGTTGTCTCTTACATGAGAATCCACTATGTCACAGATTCACGAACATTGTCTCTTACATGAGAATCCACTATGTCACAGATTCACACACATTGTCTCTTACATGAGAATCCACTATGTCACAGATTCAGACACATTCCCCCTGACATGAGAAGCCACTATGTCACAGATTCACACACATTGTCCCTGCTATGAGAAGCCACTATGTCACAGATTCACACACATTCCCCTGACATGAGAAGCCACTATGTCACAGATTCACACACATTCACCTGACACTGGATGTCTAACACGAGTAGTACTTACCGCCGTCAAATGGCGGACAGTTCGGGTCGCTAGCGTCCGTAAAGGCAAGGATGGAATTCTTCCCGAAAAGTATCTCCCCATTGTCTGGAAGAACCTGAAAATAAGGATATGATGAAATTACATGTATAAGATTTCTTATAGTTTCTTTCGCATAGTGTGAGTGAGTGAGTGAGTTGGGTTTAACGCCGCTTCTAACAGTATACGTGTTTTATCGCTGCGTGTCAACTTAATGTGGGAGGAAAGCCCGAAGTGATGCAGGTCTCAGACGTTTACCATTTCGGTGAAACCCACGAGCACGGGTATGGTGCTGACAAACCTAGAGACATAATCGGGGCAAACAGGGATTAGAACCAACAATCATAGGTTTCTGGTGTGCCCAAGGGACGCAACTCTGCACAGTGAAACGCGGCGCCTTAGACGACACCCGTGCCCCCTCTCAGCATAGAGGGTCTTTGGCTTCAATCACCAGTGCAAATATTACAACTAACAACTGTTTATAGTTCAGGTTTATGAGGGAAGGTGAAATGGTTAAACGTCGCGTCAAAGATTATTGCACTTATATAGCGACGTGCATGCACGTGTGTGTGTGTGGCTGCTTGTACATATCCAGACTGATCCCGATTTTATAGTGCTAGCCCAGTGAGAAACCATGCCGCAGTTTAACATAAATACCCCATTCAGACACAGTGTACTGACTCCGAGCCGATCAGTCTTTGTTTTAGCCCCTTCACGCCGAGCGCCAGACAGGGTAACAACAAGTACCATTATTTAACGTATTTTGGTATGACGCGGACGGGCGCCGCTCTACCACTAGACCATGGAGGTGGTATGGTATGTTTGTTTGGTCAGCTGTACAAACTTATTCAAATCGACTCTACACACAATTCAGAAACAGAGTACATTAAGCCAGTGCCATTAGAATATATCTTGTGGAAGCATATGACAGACCTAACATGTCTGTGGAACATCGATCATAATAATGAGTGCGTCCTATGTGCATGTTACACAGATTGATGGCGAGTCACTAATCTGTGGTAGATTGCCTAATTCTTGTCAGAAACGTACAACCATGGCAGCGACATATAGATACAAAGGGATTCGTTCCGTTTTATTTCGGTTCCAACTTCTTACTATCCCGGGTAGCCTAGTTGTTAAAGCGTTAGCCCGTTACGCCGAAGACCCGGGTTCGATTCCCGACTTGGGTACAAGGTACAATTTTTTGGTGTCCCCCGCCGTGATATTGCTTGAATATTGCTAAAAGCGGCGTAAAACCTCACTCACTCACTTACTTTCCCGTATACACCCTTGAGTATCCTTATGGTAAATTCTATTTGAAGGGTTAGAACAGCAATATCATAATTAACTTTCATTATTTCCTTACATTTGTCACCATTCCTTTGTACGATTTAAAGGCGTAAAATATGCAACTGATAGTTAATATGTCTGTATGTTTTAAAGTGAAACGTTTAATAATTACCAGTTCCTTCAGTGTTGTATTGGTCTGTACATAAACCACAGGACTCCCATCGGTGATCAGCACTACGTCATTTCCGCAAGGTGCGCGCCCAGCGTTCCAGTTGTTTGGGTTATTGAAGTTGGTGCTTAGCAGCCATCTTTTATATACACCCAAGGCTGGCACTGAATGAAAGGCAGAAAGAAATCGAGCTGAACCCCTATATCTGGCATGTAAAGAGGTTCAAAGTATAAGCTTCGGTATATCCGGAGTGTACGTAAAAAGTGATCAGTATCAATATATACAGCCTAGATTGACATATCCGGAGGGTGTTTTAATAAAGATATAAATATTAAGGTTTGCTGTGCAGTTTGGACTTAAGTCATATTTAATAAGTCCTGAGTTTATTAAAACAAATATCAATATAAAGGTTCATTGTTCAATTGAGACTATAAGTGAAATTCAATATACGTCCTGAGTTTATTAAAAAAGATATCAATATAAAGGTTCCTTCTCCAATTTGGCCCATGAGTGAAGTTTAATAATATAAATATCAAAATAAAGGTACATTGTGCAGTTCGGACATAACGCCGTTGGGGTACGATGACCCCCAAAGTCAGCGAGCCTGACCACCCGACCCATTCTGTCGAATTTTACAACTTTTTCAAACACTTCTTGTGATAGTTATCAAATGCAGTATCAATTGAGTTATTGTTTTTAAAAAACACACATAGCAAGAAGTGTCAAAAATACCTGTCAATTGTAGAAGTAGAAAAAACACGAAAACAGTCTCCATCCTTGACCTGCTGACAGCTGCCTTCTATCCGATTGAATGATGTCTATTTCGCACTCGAAGGGGGCGTATACTGGAGCAGATAAGGGTCATCATGGTGACGGCATCTCTGGGTGAAATGTGATACATGTCTATATGACTTGTATATATATATATATATATATACGCGAGTCGGGACGCATGCCGTCACATCAACCGAGCTAATGCGATACATGGCTATAACACACGACGTAAACACGATACTCCACTGTAGGCCTATGTTTCATACACACGCTTCCACACGCTAATTGTTGTCATAGCTGTTACCGACATTATTAAAACTGCGGTTTCAAACAAATACTTTATCACCAGCAACGGGTTTGCATGATATCTCACTTACCGAAACCTTTTCTTGACAAGGACAGTCAGTGTAAAGTATAAAAAGGAGAATGGTGGTGGCCTTGGTTTGACTCCTCTGATACACTATAGTGTCGCAGGAACCTTGTGGGGTATATGATGCTTAGTGTCTTATTGTCTTATATACCCGTGGAGATCCGGGGTAGAATACATTACTAAAAGATATCTGGCCGATTCAAATAACGAGGATTGCTAATTGTAACCGCGTGCATATGCATTATAATACAATGATACATCTGAACTCATAAAGCTTAGCCCCGTGAAGATCCGGGGTAGAATAAGTCTTCAGCAACCCATGCTTGCTGTAACAGGCGACTATGCTTGTCGTAAGAGGCGACTAACGGGATCGGGTGGTCAGGCTTGCTGACTTGGTTGATACATGTCATCGATCCCAACTGCGTGGATCGATGCTCATAATGTCAATCACTGGATTGTCTGGTCCAGACTTGATTATTTACAGACCGCCGTCATATAGCTGGAATATTGCTGAGTGCGGCGTTAAACAACAAACAAACAAAACAAACAAATTATCGTCAAATAGATTCAGTCTTTGAATAAAGATTTTGTTATGAATGATAAATGGAGCTTATCACGCTAGTATGTTGGGGACGGCAAATATGTATTAGGGATAACATATTGTATTTAGCAAGGTGAGGTCAGGTAAAACGGGTTCTGACCATGCATTAGAGATTAGTATTTCACTTATTCTATAACTTATATAACTTTGTATTGTCTTTAGTCATGACGCGGCCAGGGATCGAACCAGGACCTTCCGCTCTCCGTGCAGACGCTCTATCAACTGAGGGGTTTTCATACTAGGTAGCGTTAAAAGAAGGTACGCGTTGTTACCATGCCTGGCGCGGAGTATTATGTGTCGGAGTGGGTTATCCAAGTTTAACCGGCATTAATCCAGACTAATGCAAGCAGACATACACACTCACGCACGCACGCACGCACGCACGCACACGTGCATGCAATGCACGTCTCTATTTTAGTGCAATAATCGGCGAAGATAAACCCCATTTCACCTCAACCCTAATATAATGTGATTGTCTATATCATGTCTCCATATGTGTGCGTATGTGTGTGTGTGCGTGCGTGCGTGTGTATGTGTGTGTTTTAGTGTGTTTGTGTGTGTGTGTGTGTGTTTTAGTGTGTGTTTGCGTGTTTTAGTGTGTGTGTGCGTTTTAGTGTGTGTATCTGCGTTTTAGTGTGTGTGTGCGTTTTAGTGTGTGTGCGTTTTAGTGTGTGTATGTATGCGTGCGTGCGTGCGTGCGTGCGTGCGTGCGTGCGTGCGTGTGTGTGTGTGTGTGTGTGTGTGTGTGTGTGTGTGTGTGTGTGTGTGTGTGTGTGTGTGTGTGTGCGCGTGCGCGCGCGTGTGTGTGTCTGTGTGTGTGTCTGTGTGTGTGTGTGTTCGATTTGGGGGATGAGACAAATTCAATACATAACGCTTGTAAACGCTTGTTTACTTCCGACTGTGAAAAGAATGATTCCGAATATTGTGGTGTGGTTTAGATGTTGGTAACTAGGTCAGAATGTAATAAGTTCAACCTAGCTTCTTGGTGAACTTGTGAACTATCTACAGTAAGGCCATTAGGACCGTTCGGACATGCAGTGCGGAGACTAGACAACAGGTGCCTAAAACTTGATGCTGTCCACACGTACACGTCCATACATGGTGGCTGATGTGGGACAGCCAAATACACTTACCAAGCTAAACAAACAAAACAAACAGAGCGAACGTTGTTAATATTCAAGGATTAAGACGTGAATGACACAAAGCAGAGGAAAGCAGAGGACTCCCCCAATGTCTCATGGCATCTGTTACTGGTCATTTCGCCCAGGACTGTATTCTCGCGATACATCCATCCTCTGTAACATATGTAACACATACGATCTTGTGGCAATGTCTTATAAATCAATGACGGGACGGTATAACAGATATATAATCCCCTTCTATTGTGTTCATAACGATTCCGCTTTACAGCTGCAATGTTACCAATGCGATGTACAAAGTTAACTCACTGACTTCAAGAAGGAACGTATCTTCATCTGGTGTAATATCCAAATTACAACTATACAGAGGACAATATAATTATAAATATTTACTGTGAATGTGTTGGGTTTAACTTTGGATAATGCCACAGCTGCCTATTAACAACAAGCACCCGGAGTATTGATTAAATATTGAAATTGCATCAAACATCCCTCTCTTAAAACTGCAACCTTCACACTCCCATCGTGGCGTATTTCAGTCAACAAATCAATGCAAGAATTCGTATACAATCTCATTATAGATTTGGCTTTGTTACCGATACATTAAACCAAACCCCTGCGTCCTGTATGTCTTCATTGAGCGATGTTTTACCGCAACTCTTATATTGTCATGTCCAAGAATTCATGACGTGGTGACCACGTCAATATTCACTATGTTGGTGTGATGCGTGACATTTCTGAGACTGCAACTTACTCCCGCACATTATTAAATATGTCCAGAGGGGTGTTTAAGTATAACATTCATTATTACATTACTCATATCTAAATTTCAGATTCGGGGGAAATAATCGAGTTCGGGCCTGACACAACAGTGACGTAAAATATATACGTCCCAAGCCATCGGAGAGGGATAACTCGCATTAAATCATTATGATGATGTCGCGCTATTGTTCTTCTATTTGATTCTGAGCCAGGAATTCTCTGGCCATTCGGAACATGCATTTTACGCAGATAAAACTGACAATGTAAAATCAGTGAGAATTTATGTATCAACCATAACATGGTCAGAGAAATCAGGCGAACTGTGAATTCCGGAAATGGAATCTACTTCCGGAATCGAAAGATTTCTCCATTACATCACACTCCGCCCCGTCACAGAGCCTGACAGAACATTGATGTGGATGAGACTACAGCTGAACGTCACGCAGGAATGAAACGTGTGGAACGTGTGGAAAGTCATCAACCATGTCCACATGGGACTTTGAGTAAGTGAGTGAGTGTTTGTTGTTTAAAACCAATCAGCAATGCTCAAGCTATACCAAGGGGTTTTAAAACTAGTGCTATTGACACGGTATTTCATTTGGATATGTAGACACAGACACTTATAAAAAGTTTTTGTCAGCATTGATATTCATTTAGTTTCTGCATAATTACTGAGAACAAACAACTTACACTACAATCTAGACAAAATAAGATGTCGTCATAAGAAGCAACATGCCCAGGTTCAGTCTGTCAATTTCAGAAGAGAAGACGTTTACAGATTGAGTCAATATGCCTTTGAGAGATTTTAAGTGCATGGTTAAAAGCATCTTCCCGAGGCAAGGGCGTTAATTGACTATAAATTCTAGATTCCACCCTTGTCGAACTAGGCTCGATCTCAGCGCGACCAGTGGCTATTACGAGTTATGTCCCGTCTATGTCCCTCCTATTGACCAATCAGATTCCATTACTCATATCACTTACATTTGCTTCAAACAAAATGGCGGCGTCAAGTCAAGGCGGTCTGATCGATAATCAAGATCTATATTGTAATAAACCGGGTCCTACTTCGCGAAGTGCATCAGATCACTCAAGCACCTTGATTAAAAACATGAAAAGATTTGCAAAATATTTGTCGACGCCGAGTTGGCGGTACACATGCTTTGCAAATCCTGCGGTCGACCGAAATCTGCACGTTGAAATCCATGTTATTAACGAACCGGGTGACTAGTTCATTACGCGATTTTGATTGGACATGCATAGACTCGTTAGTCCAGCCAAAATGTAACTCCAGGATTCCAGCCTAGTTCGGCAAGGGTTGAAAATGGATTTTTACGGTCAGTTAACGCCCTTGCCTCGGGAAGATGGGTCAAAACAAGATCAAAGTTTAGTATTATATTGAAAACCACGGAACCTTTATGTTGAGTCCCACTATTGAATACACATATACAAACTTTCAATTACATTTTAAACAGAAATAGATGAGTCATGGCCATAGGTAGGTTTGTCAATGTGGTGACCGTGAGGGCCATGTTGAAAATCATATTTGAACCTCTTGGAGTGAGTGAGTGAATTGGGTTTAACGCCGCTTTTAACAGTATTCCAGTCATATCGCGGCGTGTCAGCTTCATGTGGGAGGAAAGCCCGAAGTGATGCAGGTCTCAGACGTTTACCACTTCGGTGAAACCCACGAGCACGGGTATGGTGCTGACAAACCTAGAAACATAATTGGGGCGAACCGGGATTCCAACCCACAATCATAGGTTTCTGGCGTGTCCAAGGGACGCGACTCTGCACAGCGAATCGCGGCGCCTTAGACGACTGGGCCACCCGTGCCCCCGAACCTCTTGGACAGATTCAGGTGTCATCACTGAGGAAGCCGTTTCAGCGTCATTGGTCCAGTGGTTCCTGACGTGGTGATGTTGATAGTGCAATTTTGAGAACCAATTTGGGAGACTTTAGGAGCACGGTCAACATGCAAAGTAAAAAAAGGTCGAAATTTTACATACCGTGAAATATGGAAACTAAATGTTGAGCCCGAATACTCACTTTACATGTACCCGACGACCTTCCATTTTAAGAACAGTAATGAGTAAACAGAGGACGGACAAATATGCCCCGTTATAAGCTCACTTGACTTTCAGTCAGGTGAGCAAAATATAGAATCTGGGCCAGACAATCCAGTGGTTGGTATTTTGAGCAACGCCCGACGCCGCCATCAGTGTAATGACACGTAATGAACCAACCAACCTGACCACCCGATCCCCTAGGGGTCTCATTCTAACCTATGTCCCAAAAGTTTGTATTTGTATCGATAACATTCAAACATGGAAACCTTTCTACAAAGTTTATAACACTTATAACAACCCCAATAGTTGTAAAATGTATTACAGGTTAGAAATGATATATTGAAGATTCCTTATTCGTAAGGAAAGAATGTATTACCCGAAGCCTTTCTGACAACCATTTTGGGGGAAACATTCTGGTTCATTGTTTTATAAGAATTATAATCCGGAGAACAGAAAATATATACTGAATGAAATAAGTTAGGGGTCATGCATGTTTTGTGGATATTCTTTTGTGGTGAAGACAATGTCCTAAAAACGTACTGGGGGACACGCATGGTCCAGTCGTCAAAGGCGCCGCGATTCGCTGTGCAGAGTTGCGTCCCTTGGGCATGCCAGAAACCTATGATTGTGGGTTGGAATCCCGGTTCGCCCCGATTATGTTTCTAGGTTTGTCAGCACCATACCCGTGCTCGTGGGTTTCACCGAAGTGGTAAACGTCTCAGACCTGCATCACTTCGGGCTTTCCTCCCACATTAAGCTGTGATATAACTGGAATACTGTTAAAAGCGGCGTTAAACCCAACTCACTCACTCACTAAAACATTACTATATTTGGTTTTCCAAAGGGGTGTCAGTACCCACTGGACCACAACGGCCTATACGCTGATGGCATAGGCACGTGTCAGCTTGTGCCGCCTACCGACCAGCTGTTATTTATTTCCAGTTGCCGGGAACTATGCAACCCGATCAAGCTGATCATATTGAGCTGGGCAGACGTATGGTGGGACAGAAGACACGCTGAATTGTGATAAGTGAAATGTGCATTGACTGAAACGGTAAGTTCTTTGGCATTACAAAATAGTTTTTAAATGTCAATCAAGATTATCTCACTTTTATATCTATGCGTGCGTGCGTGCGTGCGTGCGTGCGTGCGTGTGTGCTTGTGACTGCTTGTTGGTGCCCGGAGAGCGGAAAGTCGGAGGTTCGATCTGATCCCCTGATCGTTTCACTCCGAGCACCAGATAGTACCATGTTTAGTACTATGTTTAGTACCATGTTTAGTACCATGTTTAGTACCATGTTTAGAGTCATGATCAGACGACGGACCTTCCCCTCTCCGGGCAGACGCTCGATCCACTAGCCCACGGAGGCGTTCTTACACTAGGCAACGTTAAAAGATGGTATTGTTGTTACTCTGCCTGGCACTGGGGATGAAACAAGGACCAGATCGGCTCGGCGTCAGCATACTGTGTCTGTGTGGGGTATTCATGTTGAAACTGCTGCATGATACGAGTATCTCAGTGGGCTAGCACTATAAAAACATCATGAGTCCAACACACAACACACACATTCGGTCGGTTTCATAAGTTCAGTTATCTTGAACGCGAAATTTAACCTCATTTCACTTCAGCTCATATCTTTGACACTATTATGGGATTCCCAACTACCAATACGTTAACTGAGAGGATTTGCTTAAAGCGCGTGTAACTCATCTACTTCTTCACGTTCCCTGTACAGTATAGTGAGTCTTAATGAACTCGGGTCTTTTAGTAACTAGACATCACTATTAAACTTTAACTTAAGGAAATGCTGATTTGTCTTGCCGTAAACCAGTAAACCAATGCTGGATTAACTATCAAGGAAATCCAATTGAATTTAGGTTACTGTATACATTCCACACACACACGCACACATACATAGTTGATAGATTTTGACACAAATTCTCTAAAATTACCAAACCGGAAGCTGGCCGGTAGCAACTACCATTTTCTCGCTCGACGGAAAGTACTGTGATTTCACCGAGGCACATGGAGCGTGATTTGGGCAAGGTTTCAGCGCTTTTAGTTTAGTTTATTTTAACTGAATCTAACTTATACCCCGCGGGGCTTTCGGACCACAATCGCTATAGTATTTATTTACGACACTCAATATCAATTCAATATGTTTTACTTTACTTTTGGTGTCATCTGGTGCCAGACGTGTCGAAAACTAGTTTTTTATTGCTTTTCAGCGTCAACACTGTCTGTGTTGTTGATTGTCTATATAAGCTGTTTTTCGTGACTAATCCATTGCCTAGATGTCCATGGTTCTGAAAGAAAAAGAATAATGTCAAATTGGACTGAAGACGTTTCAAAGAACTTGGTAAACCTGACATATCAAATAATGTCACATCCTAGAATAAGGCCAGTGTGTTAACTGAGGCGGAAATCTGCAAAAAATACTCAGGCACGTCCATTATGAAAGCAAGTTGTTTTAACGCCGCTCTCAGCAGCACTCCAGTGATATATGACGGCGGTCTGTTGTATATGAAATAAATGCAAATTGAATCTTGAATCTTGAAAGCTGCAGCTTTTCCGCAAATCAGTATCACATGCAGTATACAGTATATCAACTGCAATATACTTTATACAACATGCAGTATATACAGTGTGTCGCGAGCTCCGCGCTGGGCTGGAGCACACATTTCCTGCCCCTCTCTAAGACGCTACTTTCAAAATTAAAGGGTCTAAATGATGAAAAACAACGCTTCTGTATGAATTCGTACTTGGGAATTCCCAGGATTTTCCCCAGGAATGTGGAAGTAGTCAGTGTTTACGTAATTTCAAGAATACAGTCACGTGATAAACGTCATGTGACCCACCTCCCGTCCTATGGAAAAGCCGTGTATCGTGTAAACTTCACATTACAAAATTAGTTACTGTTATAACCAAATGAAACACAACCCATTATTCGATAGAGGTAACTGTACATAGCGGAGGGATATGTTATCTCAATAAACTTGGTAGCATGGTTTGGTTTGACTTCTTGGCGCGTGTCTGAATTCCGTTACCATGTTACATATCCTAAAACTGACTAATCAGCAAATCTCGCTGCACTGCGCGCGACAGATACTAGAGCAAGCCATGCCAGAAATACGAAACCTTATGCTTCCGAAAAGAAGCCTTTGGCATCACGTGCGTCGGGGGACCAGCGCCATCTGATTGGCCGTTAACAGTTGTACAAGGCGGAGCAAAAAGCATCGTTTTTCCGTCCATTTTACGCTTGAAAAACTCGACGCTTTTCCGGACACTTTCTAGACGCTAACCAATTAATCAATTTTAATGAATTTTTAGTCGTTTTTCGGTCCGGCAGAGAAATGAATATTTTCCCCCAACCCAGAATTAGGGGATAAAGTTTTTTTTATTGCTGGATTTGTTTAATGATGTACTCTAGATTATGAAACTGACTGATGACACTCTGTCATCTTTGGGCATTTTGAAATATTCAAGATGGCCGACAAGATGGCCGCCAAAACATGAAAATATCGCTTCCTTGCTAACAGTATGGAATATGATACCACTTTTTGAGCAAATCACTAATATTTTGCTTTCAACTAATTAGAATATGGTATTCTAAATGAACTGGTATCATTTAAAACATAATTTGATTCTTAAATAAGCAAGATAACTGGCAAAATGCCTGTCGAAACATTATAAAGTCAACAAGCACGGCATTCTTTTTAAGGATAATTGATTATTCTGAACTTTCAAAAATGAATATTGGCTCAAGGTTTTCTTCACATACATACAATCAGTTTAGGTTTCTTCCTCATCATCAATAACACGGTTAGTGAGTTGGTTGAAGCAGACACTGGAGCTACAATGTAATAGGAGAAGGCCTCGTAAGTGTGTCACTTGTGCCTAATCCATTTGGTTTTCCGAAAAAAAATATGTTTAAATCAATACCGCCGCTGGTAGTTTAATTTGTGAAAAATAGCAGGACATTCAGCTGTCGGGGCTATGACTCAGTGGGTGATTGACGGTTTGTGATGGCGCCAGCTGGGGTAGGAGACGACACACTTTCCAAATTATTTCTCAACCTTATCTAATGCTAATTCAACAAGAGACACAGAGACACATAGTTTTTGATAGAGGCTACTTGTTATAATATATTGTTGATTAAAATATGTAAAACTATGTATCTCTGGTTGTCTTGTCATCCCTTCATTCAGTAAAGTGGACTGTTCCAACTACCCACATTACCTAATTATAAATCTCATCCAGGCATGGCATACCCACATCACTTAATTGTATTTTGGTACCTTGTGGGGAGAAATTAGGCGATCTGGGAGGACACCGTTATATCATCTAACATGGCCAACTCTGCTCTTAAGTAAACAAGAACCTAATTAGTGAGGGGTCCTTTATCATCCATATTTTACTGCTTATAAAAATCTTATATCTCTCCTCACAGCTGGTTATTATATATTTTTGCTGCTGAATATTCGAAACAGAGTGATTGAGTTGGTACAACACATGCATACGGTTCCATTTTAAATGACTGCAGCGCCCCATTATGAAAGCAAGTTGTTTTAACGCCGCTCTCGGCAGCACTCCAGTGATATATGACGGCGGTCTGTTGTATATGAAATAAATGCAAATTGAATCTTGAATCTTGAAAGCTGCAGCTTTTCCGCAAATCAGTATCACATGCAGTATACAGTATATCAACTGCAATATACTGTATACAACATGCAGTATATACAGTGTGTCGCGAGCTCCGCGCTGGGCTGGAGCACACATTTCCTGCCCCTCTCCCTTCTGCAAACACCTCATGGGGGGTGTAATGAGGTCACAGGTCAGGCGTGCACTCGTCAGTTGTCTGATACGGTCAAGAGTAAGATCTTCCGGACTATCACTGCACTAGAGAAATGTGGATTGTTGATGAGGTACAACGTGTTTGGAACTGGGAGCTGAACACTAAGCACTTATAGAGAAGAGCTCACCATAAAACGTTATGGTCTCGCGTACGGACTTGTGTTTTCAATTCAAGACGTACATGTATCAAGTTGAACTTCTACGACAGATATAACTTGGTTACCGCTTCCTAACTGTAACATTAACTGAACTTTACGCCTTTTATACATATTTGTGATGGGGCGACAATGCGACAACGAGACATATTTTGACATTGAAAAATGTCGCGTTACGGCATTGTCGCCCTTTTGTAAAATATAGAAAAAGATTATTCAAAGAGCGACAATGCGACAACGCGACAATGCGACAAATGGCCAAAATATAGCGTTGTCGAATTGTCGCGCTTTGGTTAATTTCGACACGTTTTGCTTGTTTTTGTAAGGGCGTCAATGCGGCAATACGACAACGCGACAATGTCCCTTCCAAGATTCCATAGTGAGCCGTGCAAATAAAGTTATGAAATAGAAGTTTAACATGCCAGTTAAAAGATAAAGTATAAAAATGCGCTGATGAGTTCATCTGCATGCCGAGTCTATACGCTGTGATGAACAATAATGCTCTGAGCCAATACAATATAACTAAAATACTGTTCAAAGAGGTGGGTAATGCGATCACCGTAGTGTGTTACTGTAAATGTCCAAATTTTGTGTAGTGATGTTATGTAATATGTAAAATAAAGCATATTCAATTATCCAATTGATTTGATTAGAATATACTTGCATCAGTGTATTTTATTAACGCCAAAAACCGTATTTGTTAAACACATATAATAACAGATCATATACACGCATTGTGCCTTGACTTACTATTAGCTTTAATAGGCCATTCCGGAATAAAATAGTTCCCCCCAAAGCGAGGAACATCTGTTTTAGTTTGTTTACAAGAAATGTATTCCAAAAAATATCCTCATTAGATGAGAAGGTCCGTTAAGAACTACCTCAGTAAGTCAATCACAATGACAGAGCGTTGTAATACATTTACATCAAGTACAAAATGGCCGACTATAAACGTGACGGGAGATATTTCCGAAGTTGTTAATTAACCTGTGGCGATTTCAAGCCTTTGTCATCACTGATCAATTGGCCGAACATTGAAAGGTGATTGTAAAGATGTGTCAAATAGATACTAAGGTAAATTCATAGATTGCTGTAGATTGTAACTACGATAGTTTGGATTTTTGGGTTGTTTTTTTCTCTAGGATGGGTATCCTTGAACGGGCATGCAACCAAACTTTATGACTTATCCCAGAGTATGCTAAGACGCTACGTTCAAAATTAAAGGGTCTAAATGATGAAAAACAACGCTTCTGTAGGAATTCGTACTTGGGAATTCCCAGGGTTTTCCCCAGGAATGTGGAAGTAGTCAGTGTTTACGTAATTTCAAGAATACAGTCACGTGATAAACGTCATGTGACCCACCTCCCGTCCTATGGAAAAGCCGTGTATCGTGTAAACTTCACATTACAAAATTAGTTACTGTTATAACCAAATGAAACACAACCCATTATTCGATAGAGGTAACTGTACATAGCGGAGGGATATGTTATCTCAATAAACTTGGTAGCATGGTTTGGTTTGACTTCTTGGCGCGTGTCTGAATTCCGTTACCATGTTACATATCCTAAAACTGACTAATCAGCAAATCTCGCTGCACTGCGCGCGACAGATACTAGAGCAAGCCATGCCAGAAATACGAAACCTTATGCTTCCGAAAAGAAGCCTTTGGCATCACGTGCGTCGGGGGACCAGCGCCATCTGATTGGCCGTTAACAGTTGTACAAGGCGGAGCAAAAAGCATCGTTTTTCCGTCCATTTTACGCTTGAAAAACTCGACGCTTTTCCGGACACTTTCTAGACGCTAACCAATAAATCAATTTTAATGAATTTTTAGTCGTTTTTCGGTCCAATGACCATATACGGAAAAAAACGTCGTTTTCGTGTTTGCAGTGCATGCTGAGATGTCAAGCTCAAGCTTTGAGGCAGCCATTGAAAGGGACCAGTCATTAATTGTTCCATTCTTTTTTTCCAAAAAAGTTGGCCCAATCTTTTTTGGCCCAGTTTGTTTTGGCATGAATTTCTTAAAAATATTTAACACAATTTAACATAACCATGTGTATAACAGACATAATAGGTTTTGCTTTATTTGCACCTCTTTTGAGGTTACTATTATTTTTATTTTAAATTATCTTTATTGTTTTTTATAATTTGATTTCAAAATGCAGTGGGAATTTATCTTATTTTGTAACTATAGAACATTAACAATCGTTAGAAAATCCACAAGCATCCCAGTTGACACTGAATAATATAATAACAAATGTATATATAACGATATATACTGATTTGGGGTTTTTCATAGACAATATTGCCTATTATTTTGATTAATTACATTTCCAAATGAAACTATTTCATTAAGAATAACATATTCTAATATGTTGAAGGCAAAACAATAGTGATATGCACCAAAAGTAGTCCCATATTCCATACAATTAGCACGGAAGAGATATTTTCATGTTTTAGCGGCCATCTTGGCGGCCATCTTGAATATTTTAAAATGCCCAAAGATGACAGAGTGTCATCAGTCAATTTCATAACCTAGAATGTGTACTTAAACAAATCCAGCAATAAAAAAAACTTTATCCCCCAATTCTTGGATTTTGTCCTCTCTGCCGGACTAGCACGTCCATTCCCATTTTGTGCTGGAATCCAAAGCTCCTAAGGACGTACTTTCTTAATAGTCACAGAACGTCTTTGAGACAAGTGGACGAATGGAATTAACTCTCAAAGGATTTGCCTAAAGTGCGTGTAATTCATCTACTTCTTCACGTTCCCTGTACAGTATTGTGAGTCTTAATGAACTCGGGTCTTTTAGTAACTAGACATCACTATTAAACTTTAACTTAAGGAAATGCTGATTTGTCTTGCCGTAGGTATTGTTTGTCTTTCTTGGTAAACCTGACATATCAAATAATGTTACATCCTAGAATAAGGCCAGTGTGTTAACTGAGGCGGAAATCTGCAAAAAATACTCAGGCACGTCCATTCCCATTTTGTGCTGGAATCCAAAGCTCCTAAGGACGTTCTTTCTTAATAGTCACAGAACGTCTCTGAGACAAGTGGACAAATGGAATTAACTCTCAAAGGATTTGCTTGAATTTTGGATATCTCAGAGAGTTCAATTGTGTCGAAACATTGGATTTTCAACTTTGTACAGCCCCCCCATACCACTTGACAAATTTAAGGGAAAACTTCATTCTTTAATTTATGGGGCTTTTGGTACAAAACGTGGTTACCGTAGATACAATTATATATCTATCTTCAGAGGTTCAGGGGAAAATTTGTCAAAAATGAAAGCAAATGTATTCTATTAAACGTTTACTGAGAAAACAATCTGTGTTTGTTTGTTATTTAACCCCGCACTCAGAAATATTCCAGCTGTATGACGGCGGTCTGTAAACAATGGAGTCTGGACCAGCCAATCCAGTGATTAAGATCATGAGCATCGATCTACGTCATTTGGGATACGATGACAAGCTTCAACAATGTCAGCGAGCCTGGCCACCCGCCTCTCACGGGAAGCATGGGTTGAAGACCTATTCTAACCCGGTTCTTCACGAGAAAAATAATAGTCACATGTGAAATGGTGGACTTGCTGATTGATAACATCTATGTGAAATTTTAGGCAACAAATAGGCATCCCCATGGACACCAATTGTGCACCTCTTCTAGCTGAACTGTTTCTTTATGCATATGAATCGGAATTTCTGCTCGGATTGGCAAAATCAAAATAAGGGAATTTGGCCTAGAAGACATATAAACTTCAGGTTTGTTTGTTTGTTGTTAAATGCCGCTCAGCAATATTCCAGCGATATGACGGCGGTAGATAATTGAATCTGGACCAGACAATCTAGTGACTGGCAGCATGAGCATCGATCTATGCGATTGGGATAAGATGACATGCAACAACCCAGAAACCGAGCCTGACCACCCGATTCTATTAGTCGTCAAAAAGCATGGGATGCTGAAGACCAATTCTAACCCGGATCTTCTCGGGTTAAGCTTCAGGTGTGTCGAAAATAATGTGATATCGTTCAATAATGGTCGAATACACACTGATTTACCCACATGGACTAGAAAAAAAAGACACAATTAAAACTGACTCATCTCCTTTATAATTAGATGAAAAGTAGGATAGCTAAAACACACCCGAACATTTACGAGTTCCTGAAACACAATCAAGATGGTTGTTGGTTCGAGAACCGATGGGGCCACGGCGATTCCTGATCCGAGCAGGGAAGCGGGCATTGTTATATTAAATAGATCTCTCCTCAGTAACCGCGGTTCCTTTAATCTCCTTTTATCTCTACTTCTGGAACGAGTTGGTATAACGTGGTATATTCCTGCTGCTTATCGGATAATGATACCAAGTTTATCAGATTGGGTTATCGCATTGATAACACTTTTCAATTATATTCTACAGCGCTTAATACCTGACCCGTGAAGATCCGGGGAAGAGTAGGTCTTCAGCAACCCATGCTTGCCGTAAAGGGCGACTATGTTTGTCGTAAAAGGCGACTAACGGGATCGGGTGGTCAGGCTCGCTGACTTTTTTTATGCATGTCATCGATCCCAATTGCGTGGATCGATGCTCATGATATCAATCACTGGATTGTCTGGTCCAGACTCGATTATTTACAGACCGCCGTCATATAGCTGGAATATTGCTGAGTGCGGGGTTAAACAACAAACCAACCAACCAACGCTTAATACCTTGCGCAAAACCATTCTAGGGTTATCGGCGGCGTTTTGGAATGCTCATTGGTGATTTAATAAAAGACAGATACCCGTAACCACTCATATACTATTATTGTCATTATACGAGTAAATATACGAAATTTAGATTTCAAAACATACTGTAAATAACGTCGCGAACGGTGATGTGTCCCAAATAGCGAGATTTACAATGTGCCTAATTTATGCAAATACGTTTTAGACGACGATAGAATGACCCGTGAAGATTCCGGGGTAGAATAGGTCTTCAGCAACCCATTCTTGCCGTAAAAGGTGACTATGCTTGTCGTAAAAGGCGACTAACGGGATCGGGTGGTCAGGCTCGCTGGCTTGGTTGATGCATGTCATCGTATCCCAAATGCGTGGATCGATGATCATGATATCAATCACTGGATTGTCTGGTCCAGGCTCGATTATTACCAGACCGCCGTCATATAGCTGGAATATTGCTGAGTGCGGCGTTAAACAACAAACCAACTAACCAACCAAGAATGACATTATTCGATGAAGAGTTGGGTTTTTTTCTAAACCAAGGCTCTCTACGTACGGACCGACCCGTGGTCTAGTGGGTATAGAGACGCCCGGAGTGCGGAAGGTCGTGGTTCGACCCCATGGCCGTGTCATACCCAAATACGTTAAATGATGGTACTTGTTGTTACCCTGTCTGGCGCTCGACATTATTGGAATAAAACAAGGACTAGTCTTCTCAGAGTCAGTATACTGTGTCTGCGCGGGGTATCCATGTTAAACAGGTGCATGGTATCTCTGTGGGCTAGTACAATAAACCGACATCAGTTCGTACTAGTATAAGCAGCCACACACACACATATAAGTGAAATAATCTTGACCGCGGAGTTAAACCCCATTTCACCTCACCATGTCGGGAATAGAACCCGTCCGTAACCACTTGTCTACCCCGCCGTCTTTTGTATCAAAGGAAGTAAACTGTCAATAAAGTATACTATCAACATCAATTATTTATGTCAAGACTTCACTCACCATTTTTAAAAATTGCTTTTCAGATGAACTCCAAAATAATGTGCGTCTTCTTAACCTGTTTGATGATGACGTCGATCCTAACCCTAACTTTATATCAGCTACTCCTTGAGACATCCATACCATTATCTTATCGATTGACGCCTGACCAACCAACAGGTAATAAACAATTACAAATCACTTTCAGACCAAACGCCACCACCTGTTTTGGCAACGCCAAGAACAAAACCACGGTCAGTATATCACCAAATCTCCCTCTCGTCATGGAAATGCAGACAGCCCAGTGCTCACAGAGGAACAGCGGTGTACCAAAGTCGACTCCAAAGAGGGTCATCGTTTGGCTTAATGTCCCAAATTTTTTTATAAAGAATCAGACATCATTCGATGGTTGCCCAGTTGCGAACTGCGTGCTGACGGTTAACAAATCCCTGCTTGCGACAGCTGATGCGGTGTTGGCTAATGGTGTTCATATGCCGAGATCAGATTTCCCTCGAGCGAGTCCTGATCAAATCTGGATATTTTTTGGATGGGAACCTCCCTTTCATTATGACCAAGTTTATCGACAAAAGAATTGGCTGGGGCGATTTAATTGGACTATGACGTACCGCTTTGATTCCGACATCACCTGGCCGTACAATTATTTGTTAGAGGACCCCACACAGGAAGGACGACACTTGGACCATGAGAACTTCCTTGACATCGCCCACAACAAGTCGGGATCAGTCGTCTGGTTTGTGAGCAACTGCAACTCGTTTAATCGACGAGGGAAGTATGTTGAGGAGCTTCAGAAATACATTCATGTTGATATATATGGTCGTTGCGGACCAAAGGAATGTGGACGGACATGGCGAGACTGTTTAGACTTATTGAATTCTTACAGATTTTACCTGTCGTTTGAGAACTCCCTGTGTAAAGATTACATAACGGAGAAGCTGTTTAAAGTGTACTCAGGTACAGCCATTCCGGTCGTGAGAGGTGGGGCGGACTATGAGGCTCTTTTGCCTAAAGGAACATATATTGATGCAGACTCGTTTAAAAGCCCCAAAGAACTTGCTGAATACTTGTTACATTTGGAAACTCATAGTGCAGAATATCTGGAAATATTGGAACGGAAAAGCAAATACAGGAATATGAAATATGATGAAATGGGTCCATATAGGTGGCCATGTATTCTATGTGCGAAGCTGCACAGCGTTAATGAGACGAAGGTGATTCCTGATATTCACGCCTGGCTGCACGATGATATGTGTCATGACGCAACCGATATATGACATCAGCATGCGTCATTTAGTCCATTAAAGAATAAATGACATCAACAGATCGGGTTGGGTGAGTGCAAGAGAATCGAATACGACTTCATAGGGCACAATGTATGGTATCATTAAAAAAGGATTGTCTAAAGTTTATTTACTTTAATTTACTTAAACGTACCACGGGAAAACGTTTGGCGAGTCTTACTTAAGTTGAGATCTTGTAACCATATTCTTGAAAAGTGGGAGATGGAGAAAAGTAGCTTTAAAATGTCCACTTTGTAAACTATCTGACACAGGTGATGAATTCCATTATTTATTTATTTGTCCATCGTTAGAAAACGAAAGAAAATTTTCACACAGATTTTACTATATTGAAACCCAATACGTATAAAATTTACTTTTCACTAATCCACGATTAGGAACATTGAAAAACATATTTTGAAAGATCGCCATGTCATTGTTTAAACCTATCAAGTATTCTATCTTTACTGCATTGCAAATATATTGTTACCCCGGTCACATCAACATACATCGTGACAGTGGTATTAGTGGGTATTCTAGTGCTTGTAGAACGCATGTACATTGGAATCACATCAACATACATCGCGACAGGGTTTTCACTTTTAACTTATCAGTGGGCCATGACTCTAGTGTTTGTAATACGGATGTATACATTACCAAATTGGATCTATCAGTGACACAAATGATATCTGATTCAAATATTTATGTTGACTTGTACCATATGTTCTAGTGTTTTTTTTCCGGTGAACAATTGTCTTGCTTTTGCATGTGTTTGGGGCGTTGCCACCGTTGGGGCACGACACGCACACCTTTCGGGGAGGGCACGGGGTGGCCCAGTCGTCTAGGACGCCGCGATTCGCTGTGCAGAGTTGCGTCCCTTGGGTACGCCAGAAACCTGTGTTTGTGGGTTGGAATCCCGGTTCGCCCCGATTGTGTTTCTAGGTTTGCCAGCACCAATCCCGTGCTCGTGGGTGTCACCGAAGTGGTAAACGTCTGAGACATGCATCACTTCGGGCTTTCCTCCCACATTAAGCTGACACGCCGTGATATAACTGGAATACTGTTAAAAGCGGCGTTAAACCCAACTCACTCACCTTTTAGCGAACACCTGGTATTATCACTATTTGATTTGACACATGCTGATGATGATATAAACACACAATGTCATTTAGAAAGTGATAATATACTGAGAGTCGTATAAAAGATCCGGGGTAGAATATAAAAGATCCGGGGTAGAATATGTCTTCAGCAACCCATGCTTGCCTTAAAAAGCGACTGTGCTTGTCGTAAGAGGCGACTAACGGCCTTCTTTAAAACTCAATCAGCATCCTTAACAGCGAGTGATAAGCTGGTGTCAGGTTCATGGACTACAGAATTAACCAACAGTTATGAATATGTAAACATGTTATTCAAAGATAATGAAATATAAAGCGAACCTATTGCAACAACTAGTTCAGTATTCTATAAATCGTATCTGTGAAGAGGTTGTCGGTCTTCAAGCACACAGAAGCAATCGAGTTTCAAGAGATTGTCTTCCTTCTTACAAGGCTGGATATTTAAATACAAATGTATATGCTGCTCAAAGGAAATTAATGAATAAACTGGGTTTATTAAATATAAGTATAGTTAATCTGTCATGCAATTTTCAAGAAATATACATGTACTTTGATAGTGTTTTGTCTGAAATAGTTTTAAGGAAGAGAATTTATGGATGTCAACTTCTTTATTATGAGGAACACAACGTTTCGGAGTATGTGCTTACTCCTTCATCAGGTGAATGAATGCTATGAGGCAGAGAGCATATATGTACAGGTAAGTGAGTGAGTTAAAGTTTTACGTTACATCGGCAATATTTCAGCCATATCGTGACGATGTACAGGTAAGGACAACAAGAGTACTAAGATAACAAAAGGTGGAAACTTAACAAGGGAAGCCAACAGATGATTAGCGCTGATAGGTGATTAGCAATAGACAATCGAAGCCAACACTTTACAGTAATTAGCGCTGGTAATTGAAACTTATTGGTAATAATCCAGCTATCAATTAGTGATGATGTAGGTCCTGGCTTCCAGTTGTCTATAACTACTAGGCCCATTATCTGTTGGCTTCCCTTGTTAAGTTTTACACCATAAAACTCATGAGACAGAGTAAGAGATATAAACTAGAAAACTTCAAGGCCTTAGGCGTATTCTTAATAAAAACGGAACTAATAAAACGCATCTAAAAACACAATAACCGACCAAATCAAAATCACATAAACAAACAAACGTCTACCATACCCAGCTCCCTTAGTTCTCCTCCCCAACCCCATCGGCATCTATTCCAAATCTCAAAATTCCCAAATTCTATATAAGCAACCCCTAAAACCCCTCTTGGATTGCACAGACCACTTTCGCCCCTTTCGGAAACACATTAAATGGCCTGGCCGGGCCCGTGTGCGAAATACGCATCAGTCGGAAAGCGCACGTTAAATCTCCAAAGTAAGTAAGTAAGTAAGTAAGAGAAGGTGAATTTGTACATGAACGTAGTATATCGGCAACTTCATAACATTTGTACTTATTGAATGATCATTCTCGGTAAGTCTTGATAGTGTTTCTATCTCCAGTCTATTGTGTTTAATACTCTGTACCCTTTCGCCACCATGAAGGGTCCAATGAAAAGACTCCAAAACTTGCTATCCATACAAATTGCACTTCGTTCATGGTTGACACAAGCAGTGGTATCATCAATACTCGAGACCTACTACACATTCCGTCTCCAAACAACAGAGGGAAGAAAACTGGGAACACCTGACAGCAAGCACTATCTTCACACTCGTGTAAACATCTTTCCGCTTTAGGATGAACAACAGTCTTCTTATCTGATCAAATCTTGAAGGGGCGGTCGGGTAGCCTAGTGGTTAAAGCGTTCGCTCGTCACGCCGAAGACCCGGGTTCGATTCCCGACATGGGTACAATGTGTGAAGCCAATTTCTGGTGTCCCCCGCCGTGATATTGCTGGAATATTGCTAAAAGCGGCGTAAAACCATACTCACTTACTCAAATCTTGTGATTGTTGATTTCAAGTGAGTTAAATATTCTGCGTCCAGTTAGGGATCAGAGAGATAGTGACGTCATTTCCGAAACGAAGCTTTGGTGGTAATACAGATCCCAGGTTTTTATCACAATATACTACTCAAATTAAGTTAAAGAACACCCGATTCTTACATATTACTATAATGTCTTGTCGTGATAACTCTTGTAATATGTAAAGAATCCAAAACTTCTTTTGAGTAATATACACTGGAGATATAATACCCTGGATAACCGAGGATGATGGGAGGCATTGCTCCGAGTTGTACGTGTCGTGTGCCATATTCTAGAGACCACTTGGCAAAACCTTCCACGTTGTGTTTGGTTTGTTTGTGGTTTAACGCAGCAATCACCAATATTCCAGCTATGTGACGGCGGTCTGTAAATGTCTTTGACGAATCTCAAGCTGGATTTAGACCCCACTATTCCACGACAGATCATATATTTTCACTACAGGCCATTATCCAAAAGTATGCATGTAAAAAGAAAGGAAGGTTCTACTGCTTATTTGTAGATTTCTCAAAAGCTTTTGATAATGTTGATCACAATATGTTGTTACAGAGTTTGGCAGATATTGGTGTCTTCGGAAAGTTTTTGTCTATTATTACATCAATGTACGATAAACTGTGTGCCTGTGTTAGAACACTTGCTGGGTTATCCAAATACTTTAAGTGCAATATAGGTACCCGTCAAGGATGCATCCTCAGCCCTCAGACGTTTTTAAATATTCATGAATAAACTTGTAAATTTTATGGAAAATTATGGAGGAAAAACCGTCTTTATTACTAAAGACTGCCCAGCAATATATGCACTTATGTTTGCTGATGACGTGTCATCTATTGCTGATACACCTTTAAATTTACAAAAGAAGATCAATGCCTTGGAACATTTTTGCAATACCACAGGCATGAAGGTAAACTTGAAGGAAACTAAAGTTATGGTATTCAGAAATGGTGGACCCCTTACACATTATGAAAAATGGATATTTAATAGTGTATATATTGAAACTGTGTCGTTTTATAGATATTTGGGTATTGTGTTCACGCCCAAACTCTTTTTGGACTAAGGCATTAAATACTCTTGCTGCACAGAGTAACAAGGCCATTATGACATTATTTGATATCAAAAGAAAGTTGGTAATATACCCTGTCAAGATTTATTTAAGATATTTGATGCTATGATTGTGACTATTGTCTGTTACGGGGCATCTCATATTGTAAAATTATTGAAGACGTACAGAATAAAATGTGTAAATGGTTTCTAAATACAGGTAAAACAAAACACAATGCAATGGTTTTAGGAGAGTGCAGAAGAGCCCCTCTCCAACTTGTGTATACCACAAGGGCCACCAAGTATTGGTGCAGGCTACTGCGTTTGGACGAGCACAGACTGCCTCGCCAGTGCTATTTAATGCTCAAATCACTGGTCCATTCTGGTCGCACCACATGGGCTACTCACATTAAGAACATCTTGTTTAAATTAGGTTTTGGATATTTATGGTTAACACGAGATGTTGGCAATGTGAAGATATTCATTCTTCTTTTTAAGCAAAGATTATTTGATAACCTTCAACAATCAGTGTGTAGTTCTATCAATAGTATATCTGATACCTTTTATTATAAACATTTTAAATCCCTGTTAAATGTAGAAAAATATCTTACACTCCCCATACCAGTACATCTGAGAATATGTATGACTCGTTTCAGATGTTTAAACTTGCAGTTGACTTGGGGAGATACACAAATGTCCCATACACTGAACGATTATGTAAATATTGTATAAAAAATGGTATATCTTTTATTGAAGATGAATTTCATGTTTTACTTGTATGTGAGCAATATTCAGCCCTAAGAAATATGTATCTTAAACAGTATATCAAGTTTCAAACTGTAACATCTTTTACTGAATTTTTCATTAGAAAACTTTGATGTTGTATATAACACATGTTTATATCTATATAAAGTCCAAAGGCTAAGAGAAACTTAAATCGATTACTTCCTTGACATGCGTAGTTCATGCAATCAACCATTGTCTGTATTATGGGCCTATGTCCTTCTTACTGAATAAACTGTAATGAAGACCTATTCTACCCCGGATCTTCACGGATCCAACCTTCCAAGTGTCATACTTGTTGGGGGCGGTCGGGTAGCCTAGTTGTTAAAGCGTTCGGTCGTCACGCCGAAGACCCGGGTTCGATTCCCGACATGGGTACAATGTGTGAAGCCCATTTCTGGTGTCCCCCGCCGTGATATTGCTGGAATATTGCTAAAAGTGGCGTAAAACCATTCTCACTCACTCACTCATACTTGTTGCCCCAGCCGATAATTCATAGCACACAGCTAATACAAAGCATGTCTCCAAGTGCGGATTATTGGGACTGACCTTGTTCGAATCCAACAGGGCGTGAATGTCACGATTAAGCTGTGCCGAGCAGTGTTGCTGGAGTGTACTACACAACGTTTGATACGAATACCGCGGTGGCCAAACCCCGAGGACAAAAACTGTTGAAGTTTGTGTTTCTTTATTTCAACGAAACAGAATATGTGTCCATGGCAATATCAAATACTATTTGTACGACACCTCTTAGCAATCAGTCACATTCAGTCCCCACTCCGACACTCGCAACATCCCTGTCAAAAGTTGAGTAGTATACATCCGCCCTGAGCTGAAGTGAGTGAGTGAGTGAGTTGGATTTAACGCCGCTTGAAGAGTATTCCTGTTACATCACGGCGTGTCAGCTTAATGTGGGAGGAAAGCCCGAAGCAATGCAGGTCTCAGATGTTTACCACTTTGGTGAAACACACGCACACGGCCTAAACTGAAGACCTGAATCGCCCAGACGCATGTCTAAATATGCCGTCGGAAT